GCTATTAAGTCATATTCTAGACAGCATTCTAAAAGCGTCAATTGTATTAAGAAACAAAATTTTATTAATTTACAGAATAGATTAAGTAATGAGTATAGAAAGGCCGCTTTTGATAATAAAAGTGATAATTTGAATATTATATTAGATTTAGAAAAAAAGTTAAGTGAGTATGAAAGTAAGATATGTGAAGGTGCTATTATTAGATCAAAGATTAAATACAATGTAGAGAGTGACAAGAATACCCATTTCTTTCTGAATCTTGAAAAGCAAAGGCAGAGTAAGAATAGCATAAGTAGTTTACTGTTAGATGATGGCACTATTTTGGATGATACTGACTCTATTGTAAATGGATCCTCTGAATATTTTTCATATTTATACAGTAACTCAGACCAAATGGAGGATCCATCTGCAATAATGTCAGTTGGTAAGTTAATTAATAATACATTAAGCAAGGAGGACAGAGAACTATGCGATAATAATGTAACTTTAGTGGAACTGACAAACGCTCTTAATAATATGCCTAATGGCAAAAGCCCAGGATTGGACTCGCTTACCCCCAAGTTCTTTATTAAATTTTGGAAATTATTAGGACCCATCCTGTTAAATGTGGTCAATTATATTTATGCTAACAATACATTGTCCAGAACAATGAGGCAGGGTATGATTACCCTCATATATAAAAACAAGGGAGATAAGAGAGTCCTAAAAAATTATCGTCCGATTTCATTACTCAATACTGACTATAAGATTATTTCGAAAGTTTTAAGCTTTAGGTTGAGGAAGGTTGTGGCCTCTATAGTCTCCCCCGAACAAACTTGTAGTGTTCCAGGAAGAAATATCTTAGACAATATTGCCAGTATTAGAGATATCATTAGCTATGCTGAGGGGGAGAATATAGAGGCCTACATTTTAAAATTAGATGCAGCTCGGGCATTTGATGTTTTATCGAGAAAATATTTATATTCAATTTTAAAGTATTTTGGCTTTGGTGATGTTTTCATAAATTTTATTAAGATTATGTATAATGATAATATATGTAGTACTGTAAAAATTAATGGTTATTTATCTCCCTTTTTCAGAATGTTCACGGGTATTAGACAAGGTGACCCTCTGAGTAGTCTTTTATATATTCTTAGTGCTGAACCGATGAATATTTTGGTTAAATTATCTCCCCTTAAGGGTGTATCTATTAATGGTTTTAATAATTTAACATCAATAATATTTCAGTATGCAGACGACACTAACTTAACATTGAGTGATATAGAATCTGTTAATAATGTATTTAATGTTTTAGATCCTTATTTAAAGGCTTCAAATGCAAAGATTAACGTAAATAAATCAGAAGTTTTACCCATAGGTAGTGTGAAAAACTGCAAACTTGATATAAAAATTCCTATTAAGCAGATAGAAGGTGCCATTGAGATCTTAGGTGTGTATTTAGGAAATGATAGTGAGTTATGTAATAACCTTAATTGGAATAGTAAAGTGGCATCTATTAAACGGTTACTTGGGTATTGGAGTGGCCGCCAAATTACACTACAAGGTAAAGTTCTAGTGGCAAATTCGCTTATTATGTCAAAATTGTGGTATAGCTTGGCGGCTACTTCAATACCTGATTATATAGAAAGGGAGATAACCCAAGCAGTAGTTAAGTTTGTTTGGAGAGGCAGACCACCATTGATCCAGTATAATTCTTTTATTAATAGTAAGAGTAATGGGGGCCTGGCTCTTACGGATATTAAGCTTAAGGCCCAATCATTAGCTCTTAAATGTATGATTAAATACTTCGATCCTAATTTTCAAGCAATATGGAAAACATTAATGAATATTTTTTTTCTTAAGTATGGCAATCTTCAGTTAGGAAAGGATATTTTTAAAGTACCTTTTCACCACAAGTTTTTAACTGAGCTGCCACAATTTTACCAGCATTTGCTGAGATCGTGGGACAATTTAAATCAGAATGTGAGGCCTCCACCTGTAACGATCAACGAGGTTGCCCCTCAACCCATTTTTCATAATCCCCTTATCCGCCATAATGGCAAAATGTTAAGTAATGATATATTTGAATCGTGTGAAATTGTTAAAATTGAAGATATTATATATTATGTGATTCCAGGTTTTTTAAATGTTAATTTAATTGTAGATATAGTTCATGAAATATATCAGGATTATGATGTTGATAAGATCATTAAGTATTTTTCAGTAATTAAACAGTCTATTCCTAGAGAATGGCAGAAAATAATTATGACGCAGGAATATGAAGCCAATAAAATAGATGATAATTTTATAATCAATGATGTCAAAACACCCATAAGTTTATTATCTAGTAAATTTATATATTCCCTGTTTTTAAAGCTATATTGTACTGAACCCAAATGTATGTTTTATTTTGAAAGAATTAATTATGATGTAAACTGGGAAATAACCTGGAAAAATGTGTCTGATAATTTTAAAATACCTAAGATTAAAGAATTAGATTATAAGATTAGCCATAATGTTCTATGGACTAAAGTTAAGCTGCATAAAATCGGTAAAGTTGAAAATGATTTATGTCCAGTTTGTTTAGAGGAACCAGAAGATATAACGCACATGTTCTTCTCATGCCTTGACTCTTATATTTTACATACTCTAGTTAAACTTTTGTTAAAAGATATACTTCCATGTGATAATTTAGATTCTGTTTTAAAAATATATATGTTATTTGGCGTTCAAAACCGTATTAAGTCCCAACCTTATAAATTGTGTAATGCTATATTGTCTTCTGCACGTTATGCCTTATATAAAAGGCGAATGATTTCCCTTGATCATCCCAATTCTAATGTGGATATTATTAAGCTATTTAAGTCAATATTTCAAGACAATCTATTTTACATAAGTAATTATTATAAGCTTATTAATAAAAACTTTTCTCAGGATTTTATTCTTCCCTCTTGTTTCATTACACTAGAGCTGGATGGGAAAATTAAATTAGACTTTTAGTAAATAGTCTACCTATACATATTAATAACTTTAGCTGTATGATTATTATATAAATTAATGATATATTGAAAAAGTATTCTTTTTATTAAGAACATCGATTATTTTAACCAATTTGTTATGGTAACATCTTCTCAGGTCTTTTTTTATCTTTCTAGCCTTTCGTAAAAAGGTCCCCAAAGAAGATGTTATCAATGCTATTTGTTAAATCGACCGCAATCCAAGTTACTTTAATTAAACTCTGATATCAACCTAATCGTATCCAATGCAGTGTGAATGGGCCTTGACCTTTCATTTTGTCGTCTGCCACTTTTAATATACGACAGTACAGTTAAGTCACGTGATCTTCACTTATCTCTATACCTCCAACCACTATAGTACAGTTGCGTATACACTCCTTGTGTATACAGTCATTTACTGTTATGCTGTGATAGTGATTTAATGAAACAGTTATTCACGTTCTATCGATGTCCGTTCTCATTATTTTAGGCTACATTTACACTCCAGGTTTTTTGTTACATTGTATTTTATCCTTTTAAATTGTACATATAACTTACATATACATAAAATGTACATAAAATATTACATAAAAAGATGGTTTTAAACATATTATCTTTTGT